TTTTAAAGTCACTTGAAAACTCTTTCACGTGTTCAAACAAATCAAGAAAGATGTTGTCTATGTCCGTTTTAACTGGAAACAATAGGAGGAGCCACTTCAGTATATGTTTGTTTTTTTCTTTATATTGAATTGCTGCTTTCAGGCATAAATCCATGAATAGCCTCTCCTGCTCCCTCTCCAGTGTCCCATGGTATTTCTCCTGCCTCCATGAAACTGGACCTCTGAAGCTGAAAAACAAAATTTCAGATTGCTGTTAAACTTGATTTGATCAAACTTTAAGCACCCAATGTATAGCAGGGAGTAGACACAGGGTCAGTGTCATGCTGTAATACAAAAGGGGAAAAAACTTATTATAAAAAAACTTATTATAAATTTAGAATGCCCATGCTTGTACAAACCCAATTCTGAGACAGCTATGATACTGTGTTACATATAAATACAAATGTTAAAGTTAAAAGTTAAAATTAGCTACCTGTTAAAACATGGTATTGAAAATAAACAGCAGAAAATAGCCACCCCTGAGGGTTTTTTTTTGTGTGTTTATGGTTGTAATTGTTGACCCTGGAGTTGCCCACCCCTGCTTTAAACCCTAATCTGTCATTCAAACATTCTTGTTGGATTATGGTAGTTTCAGGTATTAAAATGCTATTACATCCGGACATAAGAGGACGCATAGCATAGTTAGTAAATATGCTGAGCGGTGATGCGGGGTCATCCAACACCAGCTCCAGGGAGGAGCATATGGCAGCGTGCTCCACGGAAGATTTTTCTATTGGAGCAGTCTTGAGATGACAACCTACGCTCAGCCTTCGACCAAGTGATAAGAAACGATGGTCGGTGTATTCACAATGGTCAGCCCTGAAGCGGTGCTGGGATTTTCTCCCTTTCAGTTATTGTTCAGCAGGAAACTGTGGTTGGCGCTCAACCTTATTAAAGAAAACTGGGGGTCCAAGCCCGGCTGAAAACGAGATTCAATACGCCCTGGACCTGAGAGCAAAGCTACAAGCGTTGGATAGGTTATCAGGGGAGGATTTAGTTCAGGCCAAGGAACAACACCAGCACCTGTACAACAGACCCAGGCAATTTCTACTGGGAGATAAAGTGCTGTATTACTCCCGTCTTCTAGCTCAAAGCTACTTGCCAAGTGGCAAGGGCCCTTCGTGGTCACATGGCAAGTGTGGGACGTGGACTACAAGGTGGCATGGTCAGACAGGGGCGGAACCACACAGATCTATCACCTCAATCTCCTTAAAGCATAGATAGGGGCTGAAACCGTTGCTCTTGTGAGCCTGGTTAAGGAAAGAGATGAATTGGGGCTGGAGGTGCCAAATTCCACCATTCCCACCTCCCTCCATTGTGATAACCATCTCACACAGGCCCAGAGAGCAGCGGTTAACACCCATTTCAACAGCGGTTTGTGGATGTGTTGTCTCCTCTGCCTGGCCATATAAATCTCATGGAGCATCACTTTGAAATGCAGCCTGGCGTGACGGTGCATTCACAGTCCTACAGGTTATCTGACCACAAAAGACAGACTGTTCAAAAGGAATTGGCAAAAATGCTAAAGATGGCATCAACAGAAGAAAGGTAGGTCTATACAGTTCTGTGTGGACTATTTCAAGGTGAATCAGGTGTCAGAGATTGATGCTTATCCCATGCCTCGGGTCGATGAGCTCCTGGACCGGTTAGGCAGTGCTCGCTTTTTTTTTTGCTTTTTTACTTAATTGGATTTAACCAAGGGCTACTTGCACATTACCTTATCTTATTTGAAGCCCTGACCACTTTCCAGCACCTTATGGACCGGGTACTGTGTTTAAAAGCTTCATATGCTGCCGCTTACATGGATGATGTCATCATCCATAGCAACAACTGGGCAGAGCACGTGCAGCGGGTGGCCATGGTGCTGGAGTCCCAGAGGCAGGCGGGGCTCACGGGGAACCAGAAGAAGTGCACTGTTGGACAGAGGGAGGTACAGTATTTGGGGTACCACGTGGGAGTTGGGCAGGTGCATCCTCAGATGGATAAAACAACAGCAATTGCCCGCATCCCAAGACAAAAACGCAGGTGAGGCAGTTCTTGGGACTGGCCAATTACTACCACCGGTTTGTGCCCGGCTTTGCAAAGCTGACCAACACCTTGACCAATCTCACCCGAAAAGGTGCTTCGGATCTGGTCCAGTGGAGGAAGCAGTGCCGGGCGGCATTTGTGTGGGTGAAAGAAGCTTTCTGTGGGAAACCCCTGCTCCACACACCTAACTTCTCCCTTCTTTTTATTCTGCAGACAAGCACCTTGAACAGAGGGCTTGGGAGTGTTTTAACCCGGGAAGTAAGAGTCAACCACCCCATCATGTACATCAGCCGGAAACTTTAAGAGCAGGAGGCCAGGGACAGCACCATGGAAAAGGACTGCCTGGTAATTCAGTGGGCAGTAGACTCCCGTCATTATTACCTCCTGGGCTTTAAGGTTACACCATTATTTCTTAAAGAAGCAAAACAGTAATAAAAAAAATGGAAGTTACATTGTCAGTACATTAGATATTGATATAAATTATTTAGTTCTGTAACAAGTATTAAAATAGTTGAAAACAAGTCAAACTCTATTTTTTTCCATTTTAACAGTCATAATTATTTGAAAGCAAAAGCTACATACCTGAGTGAGCTGATGAACGGCAAAGCCTTTAACAGAGACTCACACTGACTGTGACAGGCAGGAGTTTCCTTGTCCCAGTAGAGGCACACATTAACCTTTGTATGCATCCTCTGCATGACTTCCACAGCACTTTCAAAAAGCTTCTTTTCACCATCAACTAGAAGGTGAAGGTTTCCATCTAGGCTGAGTAACCTTACAAAGTCCATCTGCTCTTCATTGATAAGAAAAATCTCCCAAAGCAGTCGAGGCAGAGGGCCAGACCTACAATTGAAAAAGAGACCATTACCTCAGAGTAAAACTAACGAAGAATATGCGTCTCATTAAAGGATCTAACCTAAGCAGTAATATAAGCCTAAAAGCGCATGTTCATTCTTACCACTGAACATTTTTAAAGCATTCAAACAGCTGTCTCATTCCTTGTTCTGATATCACAACATCCTCGAGGTTCAGACATATTTTCTTTTTCTCTGACTGAGTGACCACATAGGCCACAGCACAGCAAGGGTAAGGATCCACACTCACTCCACTGAGGTCAAGATGGTAGTCCAGTTTGTCTAGAAA